CACATAAGGCCCAATAACTTACAAATTGTTTACACAGTTATTTGGAAGTGTTTTTATTGAGCGATTTTTAGACACATTTCTTTTGCATAAACGACATAGTCAAGCATTCCAAGATACAAGCAATCCATTTAATAAATTAAGGATTACATTCTTTTTCTTGGAGGTTTAAATGCATTCAACTTCGCAGGGCATTTTAGTTACAGTTAGTCGGTGACTATTATTTCTATCATAGATTCATGTTTGAATGACTTGAACTAGAGTCTCTATATAGAATAGATATTTCACCCTCCTCTCTAGTGTCAGAATATGTTCTTATAAGGTTTAAATGATGCATCAAATATAAATTTTAAGAACCTCGGATCCCCAACCTTTGAGCAATAGTACAAGAAAGCTTCTTAACTTTTTGTATCTCAACCTCTCATATTTTGTTCTTTAAACTTGAATTTTGTCTTTATTTTGTTCATTATTTGGACCGTTGCTTCCATATATATTCTAAATTTTCTGATTAAGTAAAATTGTCATGAGTTGTATTATCTATTCATACCCTCTTGTATATTTCCAGAATATATGCATTATTATAATAAAAAAAAAATTATCATAAACCATTGTTATAGACAACACTTCCATAATGGAAAACATCAGCAAACAAAATCACTAAGTTTCATGAAGTGCTTTACCTAACAAAATAACAACTTAACAGTACATCTCAAAGCAAGTCTCGAGAAAGCCTGCAATTGATGCTCTATTTCGCCTCTCTCCTCTAAAATTATTGGGTCCAAAATTTTACTCAACTCATTCTTGTCAATGTTCAGGATGTTGAGTGTCAAGAGCAGTTAAGAGTTGAACGAGAATAATTCCAAACATGTAGACATCACTCTTTTATGTGATAATGCCTGTTTTCACATAGTCAGGTTCAATATGTCGAAACGTCCCAGCAATTTCTACTTCCACCTGTGATTCTCCGGGAAGCAATGCTACTCAGAATGAGAAATCGACAAGCTTAGCAACACCATTACTGTCTATGACAATGCTTTTGGTGCTTAGATTTGTATGAATGATAGGTGTGGGAAATGCAGTATGAAGATAAACAAGAGCATTTGCAACGTCTTTTGCAATTTTTAGTCGATTACTCCAAGAGAGTGATCTACCAATATTATCCCTTTCTTTGTCTATATAAAGAAGGTCACGCAGATTT